CCTCGTGGTAGTTGGAGTTGGGAGTCATGAGATACGGCATTATACAATGTCCCTTAGTAGGATAGAGTTTCTTATCCATTTCATAACTTCACACACTTCCGAATTCTTCCGTAGTCGAGAATCATGAACTGATCCAGGCGAACTTGCATCTATTTATGCTAGTTATAACACAATTATCGTCGCATGTGACCTGCACACCTCTTTGGCTATTCAATACAAATTTTCGGACAATCAACAACCCCAATAGCTGTTGAGAAACAGGACCTGGTCAACCACTCCTCTTTGGAGTACATGATTTGATTTTATGTGTTTGAGAACTGAATTCTTGCGCCAGCCTGTTGTACAGTCCGTTCAAGCACCTCATGAAATATTCTGGACATTTGGGACCGCTTACACCTCAGTTATTTTACAACTCCGCTCTGGAACCCAGGATTCACAATAGCCTAGAGATATTTTTATTTTCTGCATAGATGACAAGGTTCCTCCACATGATTCGGGATACGCGCCAAGAAAGTAGTCTACAAATCACACCACATTCTCCTCCTCAAATCTAAATAATGTTTTGAAATCTGATTCTCGTGGCATACGTCTTGGATTGTAATATTTTCTTGTACATAAATGCACCATATCAGTCATAACAAACACAATTGTGGACCACACAACTATAGATCACTTATAGAAGCCCTTTCAGATAGATTTAACACACAAAAACACACCTACAAGCACATAATCTTTTACGTTACAAGCTGTGTGATGCCTATTAAATCCTTCACTTTTTTTATTCATATTCTTCAGTTTTTGAAAGCAAAATGTAAGGCTTCTTATTAGTATGGCTTAATGTCCTAGTAGGGAAACAGTTCTTAATAATTTTATGAATGAATATTGGGAATTTGTTACCTTTTAGGTGTAAGCTATTTGTTTTTCTTTTTTTTTGGGACGCAGAACTCCATTTGATTTTCTTGTACTAATTTGAAAACTAATAATCATCATTATTCTGCCTCAACTTGATAAGTATGTATCATATTTTAACCTATATAAGTTATTTCCGGTTAAATTTATTATCAGTAACGTCTCGGGAAAAATACAGTGCAAACTTATCAATGAAGTCATTGCTTTATTTAAAATATTACCTACTTTAACTGTAAGTATTGCTGAGTGTAATGAATCATATTTTTTGTAGTACCTAGTGTAGCAAAAATTAATCAATAAGCACATAATTAAACGATTTTTTAAAAAGTCTAATTTTTTCCCATCAAGCCTTTTCCTGATGAATATTTCAATTCTGTTTTTACACAATGGATTCAAAAATTCGTATAGAAAAACATACTGTATCTATAGATAATACACAAATGGTCATGAACTCCTGAAAGTCAGCAAAGGCAGTACAATAAAACATAATATGAAGTTCAATTTAAACTCCTATTATAACTTTTAGTTGAGTTGGAAATTGTCGTTTACGTACAAATTGACTTTTTCCGCAAAATTGATAAATTAATAAGAAAACCATAAGGTGAAAGAATGTGAGTTTATAAGGAAAAGTAATAAATAACAATTACAAGATGGACAAACAGTAAAAGCAAGAGAAAAATCAGCAAAACATTAGTTTGAATGTCAAAAAAAATGAAATCTGGTGATTTTGAAATGCGGAAAATACAAAAATCCGAAAAACCTGATAACATAGAATGCTGCAATCTAATAAGTTACATAAAATTGCATAAATAGTTGTTTTTATTTACTTTAGAAAATTAAATGAATGAGACAGGTTTATCAACCATATCAAGAAGATTTTGACCCTTAAATTCCCCAGTGGCAATTACCACTGATTTCAAATGATAAATGAAGCAAGGATTTTGACATAATTAGCGTACGAAATAATAAAACAGCAGTCATCTTTAAAGGTTACCAACTTTGACATTGAATTTTCAACACCCTCAGTGACTTGGTTAGCAGGCGGGACAGTGCACTAGAGCGTGACCCCAAGTGTCCAGAGCAAAAATAGTAATGGTTGAACAGTTTTCATTTCGTATTTAGTAATGCAACAGACAATGTAAATTGTAAATAAAATACAAAATAAAATATGAATGTGAAGATGTCAGCCGCAGTAGCTGACGAAACGTCTGGACGGAATGGTTCACTTAGACCACGGCCCTATAGCCCGAATCTGCATTCTACTATTTATGAATGTTTTATGCTTATTGTTTAGGTGACCTAAGATCCTCATCAACTTATTTTTGCTACTGTTTATTATTGGTCACTGTTATATGTGGATATTTCTTCCATTCGTATTTACCTTTTACATTTACTGAATCTACTATCAGAACAGAATTTTATATTCTAATACGTAAAAATATATCCTAGTTAAAAATGGAAAATATAAAAATTATTTTAAAATAAAGTGTAGAACCTGAAATTTATTTAAAAATAAGTATACCTACATTTTAATTGAAAGTTAGAAGATAATGAATATTTCCGATAAACCGGAAGTTGGAAGTCCACTAAATTAGGATACACACTCAGTAACCCCTGCCAAATTCCTAGTAATCTAATGCCGCTACATTCAGTTAATCGTTCGCAAATTCTTGTGACAAAATTAATGTAACTAAAAGCAAGGTTGAAGAGTTTCACAGGTTTCAATTATTACTAACCACAAAAAGCATTCTTGTTCTATCGATATAGCTACTAATTCTCTTTTTAGTTACAACTAAACATTAAAAAGAAGTACCAATTTGCTTCATTAAATAATAGCATTAAGCAATTTTTAATTTTAACTCATCATCATTGGATTCACATTTTGGCGGAAGGTAATAATTATTTAAGAAAACAGCAATTAATCTTTTAATTTTAAAAATAATAAAAATAAAAAAATCCAAGTGATAATTTCGTAATTGCTGCTTAATTTTGTTTAATAAAAATCAGATACAAATTACAAAAACGACTTCGTGTAAAAATTATAAATTTAACGTTTATAAAAATTCATTCTAACAATAGCATATCATCTTTAAAATTATCCACTTTTGGAATATTTCTGTTTTTAGTAAAAAATAGCATAGGTATTTATTTAGTGTGCCACAAATATGCATAAAAATTTGTTGGTAAATAATGTGTAGGGAAGGGAGGGGGATACATTCTCCATAAAATCAGTGTATTATGTGGCTAAAAGTAAAAAAAAATATTATCTTTCTTAAAATCAATAAATAAAAATTGTCGCACCTTCTTTATTGTAGTAGGTACATACATACAGGTATAGTGTCAATAGCCCCTGTTTTGCAATTTTCTGCAAAATACCTTATTTCTCCTTACTTAAGAGCAAAAGCTATAATTTTTATAAATATCGAAAATCTTAAGTCATATTATTCCTACCCCAATTAAAATATGATCGATAATTTTTATTTACTGATAAATAAAAAGTAAATATATATTTTTTTTTATTACGTTTACAATTTAACTTTTAACTATATAATAAGGCCAATTTTTTATGAAAAGTGTACCTCCTTTTTAGTAGTAAAAATTAATTTAATACCGTTGTCTTATTTTAACGATTTTTCTTTAACTGATTTTGTAATAAAAAATATCATTCGATTTTGATTCTCGCTGTATAAAAACTCATCTCAACCTTTGTTTCATAATGATATGATAGAGAAAAATGCTCAATATGGTACCTTTAAATTAAGTTAAATTATCTAGTAACTTTTATGAAATTATTTTGTAGTAGCACTGTTAAAAAATAAGAAACTATATTTAAAACATGCATATGCATAACAATTTTCTGTTAAATATTGCATAGGTAAATTTAGTAGTAAAAGTTTATTTAATGCCACTGTATTTGAACCTTTGCTTTACAAAGATTTTCGTATAGTTATCAAAGAGCCACCTCTGGGATCCCTCAGGGAAGTAACCTTGGACCATGTTGTTTGTAATATTTGGTAATACTCTTTCAGATTGTCTTAAGTTGTTGCAGATGATTTTAACTTCTTTAAAAGTGTAACATGTAAGGAAAATTGTNTATTCAAGAAGGGGGAGAACTGTTACTCACCTCATTCTAACCTAACTATCTAACGTATATGTATCTATATCCTATATGTACACATTAACCTAACTCTGATAAACATAAAAATATAATTTAAAAACATCGAAAATAATTATTAATGATATTGTACTTTTCTATGTTTGTAGGATTTATCTGACGTAGGTAAACTATTACTGTAAAAAAAAACATCTATTTATTATTATTTGACCACTTAAATAAACCAAATGTGTAATAAAAAACATATGTCACGTGAACAAATTTAAACAAAATTTAGTTGTAATCGCGATTTGCAACGCGTATTAACAAGTCAAGTAACAGTTAGTAAAATTAAGACTAGGTTGTTTCAAATTAGTTAAAAAACACGTTTTCATATACCATGCGTCAAGGTATTGAGGTAAGTAGTCGTGTTGAACAAATGACTTGAAAGTACAAAATTACACATTTTGCAGTTTTGTGACAAGGTCGTTGATGAGTAGGTAAGCTGTTATGTAAAGTACACTATCTACAACGTCAACGAAAAGCAAAATGGGGATTTCACCTTTGCAGAACCTTCTTTTTGTTGCATATAAAACTAGTTCTCCTTCAATATAGATCTATTAGACGATCATTTCTAAAATAGTCACAGTTTATTGTCAATTATTTTATTAAAATAACTTTTCATATTTACAATAACCTACTACTAACCTAAACATAATTTCAACACAAAATAGGTACATTCGCAAAAAGTAGTACAAATGGAAAATATTTCTGCAATAACAAAATGAAATTAAAACTTTTTTCATGAAATGCTAACATGTTCTACAGTTTTATGGACAAACGAAAAGACAAAAAATTATTTCTGCAAATTTATTTTATTTTAAAATTACCAGTAATAAAAATTATTGGCAGTGAAGTCTAAAAATTGACAAACTTATATGTCAAATTATCACCTACTATTCTTAAGACGAAAAGGAATTTTCTGAATTATCTTCTACCAAGCCATGATCTAAAATGGAAATTACTGTCACGCAAAAAGTAGCAATCCTACCATATTTATTGCGTTATATGACATTTTCAATATTTTTTGGGAGATGCGGAAATAGTTTTCAGTCGATTTTTGCTCATATTTAGTGCCTTATCACAAACAACAATCAACGGTGAAAAACACAAAAGTCCATGCCATAATTCTTTCGTCAACACCAAGCACTATGCCTATACCTACATAAGTATATCTCAGTGAACAATTTGCCTTTTAAACAACCGTAGAACCTATTGCTTTCCACTAGCTTTTCAAGGACGTTCCAACAATATCAAGTGAATTATCAAAATAACACGGCAACTAGAAATGTATTATATTATCAGTCCTATCAACCGAGATAACGCTACAGTTTCTGCACAATATCAAACTTCTTCTTGAAATCCATTGCCTCTCTTTTTGGATCAAATTTCTTCTTTTCTTTTAATTTTGCTCGCAATTCAGCCGCGGTCATGTTAAGATTTAACGAACCATTTTCGGAGGTCTCTTTCGAGGTGGCATCGTTATTGACGTTGTTTAGGTTAACCGGTTTTTCCGGTGTAGATTTTGAGTTGGTCACGTCTGGACTGGGACTAGGGCTTGGGCTAGGACTAGCGTTGCTACTGGTACGGTCCTGTTGTTGTTGATCTTGAGGATCTGCCACCAGAAGTTTTGTTTCATTTGGTAACGCTTTTATAGCTTCTACAACTTGTTTGTGGGATTTGTCAGCGATACTCTCGCCATTTACCTCCAGGATTCGATCTCCTGCTCGTAGGCCGGCAGCTTCTGCTGGTGAACCTTCATCTACTTTACCAATATATTGACCTGGCTTGCCCTTTTCTGCGTGCAAGTTAAATCCATATCCATCGAAGTGATCCCACTTTACGATATGACACAAACGCGTGTTTTTAACTTGCTCTGAGCTCGACAAATCACTATTAGACATAGTCGCACCGGGTAAACACAAAGTTAGAAATACTGATGACTAAATAAACCTTTAATTTTACAATTCTACTACCACTTTAAACATAAAACAATGAAAACCGCCGTAAGCCGACTGCTAACTGCTTTAAGCGACTATCTACGGAGACTGAAACTGAATGCAGGCTCCGTACAACGTACAAGTAATACGAAACAACTGGAAACTAGCTAACAGTTGGTTTCTCCCGAATCAGTCCGTCACCCATTCGCCGTGCGGTCGCGGTCGACGAAGGCGATTACTTAATACTCGGCACGGCAACAGGTAACATGCAAGCAATATATGTATATACATCAGTGGCGGTTCATTATTTTTACTTAAAAAAAAATTCGTTTTGAAAGAAACTACTCCACTCAATCTTAAGCATTATATACAGAAAAATAATTCACATTTTAGAAAATATCGGTTTGGCATACATAGTTGAAAACACAAATCTACGTGTACCTACCTAGCAAAAAATACATTAATTATTAAAATACCAGCGATATACGATAAGACACTGTCTTTTCATAACTAATGTTTTCTAATTTTAAAAATAAATTATAAGAAAGATTTACACCGAAAATTCCATAAATTTCCTGATGCAGGATGTACGAATATATAAATATTTTGAAAAATTAGAAAAAATGGATAAATTCAAAGCATAGAAAATAGGGTCGATGAAGATTTTCGTTACAGAATTTTTTTCTAGCTACTCAATCAGCACCATTAAAATTATTAATAAAGATAGATTTAAAGTAATTATGTTAAGAAATTTCTGTAAGAGTTTGCTTTTTTAATGCATAACGCACGACTATTCTTCAAAAATCCTTCAATTTAAAAAATGAAGCAATATCTTTGCTTTGTCCTTATTAAGTAAAAGTAACGTAAATGGAAAATTTTCGAAAATTTGACAAAATTTAATTAAAGGTGGACATTGCTGGAGTTCCGAAAAAGGGCATCCTCCTATTGGCTTTAGATTTTTACGACTCCTTTATAGACTAGACCGGGGGTCGACAAGTAATTTTAGGTGGGGCCCGGATGTTTCTCAATTTTTTATTGAGATCCACGAAAAACATATTCCTTCCTCCAAAAAATAATAGGGGTGGCGCTCAAATTTCAAGCATACCTTGTTATCTACAGAAAAATATTATTTCAATAATTCGAATAATTTACTTTCAAAAAAATTTTTTCACCTTCCGGGGTCCGCCAGTTATCAACCGTTTGACTGGGCAATAATAAGTAAAAGGATATTGCCTGGTATGCGTGTACAATATACTTAATCGAATATATTCAAGAAGGGGGAGAACTGTTACTCACCTCATTCTAACCTAACTATCTAACGTATATGTATCTATATCCTATATGTACACATTAACCTAACTTAAGTCAGGTTAGGTTAACTTAACTTGAGTTGGGTTAATTTCCCCTCCTAACGCCTGAAAAAAATCATGTGCATGAAAAAATCTGAAATTTATAGCCGATATAAGGGTTTTCCTTTCCAGAAATTTATTTTTAAACTATCAACACGGAAAAAAAGATTTTTTTAACCCTTCCAGTTCGAGTCAACAAGCCAAAAATTCCTTAGGTATCGTGATCTAGCCCAAAAAGAATTATATAATAAAAATTTGAAGCCTTTTCGGAATTCAAACCGAAAATATCTAGAAAACAAATAAAGGACACAATCGCAGACATTTTTAAACATATATCTACATAAAGATCATAGCATACTGATTACAATAAAGAAACGAAGCCGTAATTTGCTTACACTTCTTTCTTAGTACCGCTTTACAAGAACATGTAACAGTTATGATATCATCTATAATTCCATAAGTTTTCGTATTGTCAATTGTTATTAAATTATTTTATGAATGAATTAGAAGCAAACAACATTTTTGCAATGTTAATGTTGAATTTTAATGTCATTCGGATTCAGTAGCCATCTAAACTGTAGTTTAATAGTAAATTGTACATATTGTGTACTAGTTGAAATCAAGCAAATTGGGGTTCATAATTATACATCAAAAAAACAAGAATAAAACGTGCTTGTAGGATTTCACTGCCGGAGTCTATACAATGAAGATTTTCCGAGCTAACGAGCTATGGTCTAGTGAAATTTTTATTTCTTGCAGACGTTTCGTTCGAAAATCGTCATCGCATAAAGAATAAAACAGATACAAAAAGGAATATAAAAATGTTTCATTTCCAAATTAAATTTACATGTTTATGGACCTATCTGTATTAATTTCTTTTGCATTTTTCAGAAATAAACAGAAACGTTTACTTTTACTATTCGCGGCCGGGTCTGTAAAATACCATTACGTACATTCATTTTCGGCTATTTTTTTATAGAATTTGCACTAGTTCGTAAAGTATTTAAAGGAAAATAAACAAAAATGTACAAGACTAATAAAACCGAACCAATTGGACCATCTAGCTTAGCGGTTAATCACTAATACATGCAGGTACTAATCTCAGGGTACGCAGATCACAATACTAACAAAACCGCCGTAAGCCGACTGCTAACTGCTTTAAGCGACTATCTACGGAGACTGAAACTGAATGCAGGCTCCGTACAACGTACAAGTAATACGAAACAACTGGAAACTAGCTAACAGTTGGTTTCTCCCGAATCAGTCCGTCACCCATTCGCCGTGCGGTCGCGGTCGACGAAGGCGATTACTTAATACTCGGCACGGCAACAGGTAACATGCAAGCAATATATGTATATACATCAGTGGCGGTTCATTATTTTTACTTAAAAAAAAATTCGTTTTGAAAGAAACTACTCCACTCAATCTTAAGCATTATATACAGAAAAATAATTCACAAGTATCTCAACATACGAAATTTTAGAAAATATCGGTTTGGCATACATAGTTGAAAACACAAATCTACGTGTACCTACCTAGCAAAAAATACATTAATTATTAAAATACCAGCGATATACGATAAGACACTGTCTTTTCATAACTAATGTTTTCTAATTTTAAAAATAAATTATAAGAAAGATTTACACCGAAAATTCCATAAATTTCCTGATGCAGGATGTACGAATATATAAATATTTTGAAAAATTAGAAAAAATGGATAAATTCAAAGCATAGAAAATAGGGTCGATGAAGATTTTCGTTACAGAATTTTTTTCTAGCTACTCAATCAGCACCATTAAAATTATTAATAAAGATAGATTTAAAGTAATTATGTTAAGAAATTTCTGTAAGAGTTTGCTTTTTTAATGCATAACGCACGACTATTCTTCAAAAATCCTTCAATTTAAAAAATGAAGCAATATCTTTGCTTTGTCCTTATTAAGTAAAAGTAACGTAAATGGAAAATTTTCGAAAATTTGACAAAATTTAATTAAAGGTGGACATTGCTGGAGTTCCGAAAAAGGGCATCCTCCTATTGGCTTTAGATTTTTACGACTCCTTTATAGACTAGACCGGGGGTCGACAAGTAATTTTAGGTGGGGCCCGGATGTTTCTCAATTTTTTATTGAGATCCACGAAAAACATATTCCTTCCTCCAAAAAATAATAGGGGTGGCGCTCAAATTTCAAGCATACCTTGTTATCTACAGAAAAATATTATTTCAATAATTCGAATAATTTACTTTCAAAAAAATTTTTTCACCTTCCGGGGTCCGCCAGTTATCAACCGTTTGACTGGGCAATAATAAGTAAAAGGATATTGCCTGGTATGCGTGTACAATATACTTAATCGAATATATTCAAGAAGGGGGAGAACTGTTACTCACCTCATTCTAACCTAACTATCTAACGTATATGTATCTATATCCTATATGTACACATTAACCTAACTTAAGTCAGGTTAGGTTAACTTAACTTGAGTTGGGTTAATTTCCCCTCCTAACGCCTGAAAAAAATCATGTGCATGAAAAAATCTGAAATTTATAGCCGATATAAGGGTTTTCCTTTCCAGAAATTTATTTTTAAACTATCAACACGGAAAAAAAGATTTTTTTAACCCTTCCAGTTCGAGTCAACAAGCCAAAAATTCCTTAGGTATCGTGATCTAGCCCAAAAAGAATTATATAATAAAAATTTGAAGCCTTTTCGGAATTCAAACCGAAAATATCTAGAAAACAAATAAAGGACACAATCGCAGACATTTTTAAACATATATCTACATAAAGATCATAGCATACTGATTACAATAAAGAAACGAAGCCGTAATTTGCTTACACTTCTTTCTTAGTACCGCTTTACAAGAACATGTAACAGTTATGATATCATCTATAATTCCATAAGTTTTCGTATTGTCAATTGTTATTAAATTATTTTATGAATGAATTAGAAGCAAACAACATTTTTGCAATGTTAATGTTGAATTTTAATGTCATTCGGATTCAGTAGCCATCTAAACTGTAGTTTAATAGTAAATTGTACATATTGTGTACTAGTTGAAATCAAGCAAATTGGGGTTCATAATTATACATCAAAAAAACAAGAATAAAACGTGCTTGTAGGATTTCACTGCCGGAGTCTATACAATGAAGATTTTCCGAGCTAACGAGCTATGGTCTAGTGAAATTTTTATTTCTTGCAGACGTTTCGTTCGAAAATCGTCATCGCATAAAGAATAAAACAGATACAAAAAGGAATATAAAAATGTTTCATTTCCAAATTAAATTTACATGTTTATGGACCTATCTGTATTAATTTCTTTTGCATTTTTCAGAAATAAACAGAAACGTTTACTTTTACTATTCGCGGCCGGGTCTGTAAAATACCATTACGTACATTCATTTTCGGCTATTTTTTTATAGAATTTGCACTAGTTCGTAAAGTATTTAAAGGAAAATAAACAAAAATGTACAAGACTAATAAAACCGAACCAATTGGACCATCTAGCTTAGCGGTTAATCACTAATACATGCAGGTACTAATCTCAGGGTACGCAGATCACAATACTAACATAATTTATATTATATTATTATAAATAAATTAAAACATGTTTATATTACGTATCTATACATACTAAACACCCATATAAGCATTAAAACAAGAACAGTTTATTTAATTTAACATAAACATAAATATGTACCCCTCTGAAACCTTATACACAACGTTAGAACATTCAAATAATTTGAGAAAAAAATTATCATATAGGCAAGTAATTATTTATCAAATACACAAATTCGCCTTAGAAAAATTGTTACCTGTCTGCATATTTGCTGTTAAATTATTCAAGCATTAGTTACATACACTTACTATGTTGGCAAGAAGAACAATAAGAACCACCACACTCTCATTTTCATTGCATAAAAAAAACATTCGCTCTTGTACAATACCCCACAAAAAAAAACTTCAACTTACTCTTTACCATTAGTACCATCAATTATGAAATAGTCATTAATAAATAATCTTATTTAATGCAAATGTTACCACCGTTACCGAATGACAGCAAAATTAACTTCATGAAAGTAGATGGAAGTAGTAGTAGGAAGGAAATGGCGCCAAAACAATAATGTACTAAATTTATTAATAAAACAGCGTTATGATACACATATATACGTCTCATGTGAATGCATGTACAGTTAATTAATAATTTAGGTAAAATTTTAATGTTTGAAAAGTGCTCTGACTAAACTGGACCCATTTAAAGTACTATTAATAAACAACCTTTTTCATAGAAATCCAATTACTAGTGTTCATAAGTTTTTCATTACACAATAACAAAACGTAATTATTAATTAGCAAACGTTTTAATACAACAATGTACTAATATATTCTATGGTTTTAGAAGTTTCAAATTTTTCAAAAACCCCATTATTTTACTAGAATATTTTTACTTCTCAATACTAAATATTTAAATTTACTAACTTTTTATACAACTAATTATTATGCACTTAATCGAGTTCCGCAGGATAGTGCATGATGGGAATAAGATTATGGGTCTAAACCAAAACAAGTAGAAGATAAATTACAATGTTAAAACCACTGATTGTTTTAGATAGATGATCGTATGAGGTTCCAAGGGAGATAAAGCAATCTACGAGGAAACGTTAGTTGTAATATGAATGGGATGTAAAGGATAAACTCGTACATTTGTGTTTAGCCTTACATACGACCACATTACAGTAGCATCTCGTCATCATTACCATTTCTGCTGATCATCAGTATCGTCAAAAAATTGGACTTTCATCTGCTAAATAGACGGTATCATTCGTGTAGTTACCCGTTTAATTCCTCTCTATAAACTGATCTCGATAGTCTGCTTTAATATCTGCTGTTTAATAACACTATTTCTGAGTAAAAAAAAACGTTATGCGAGAGCAAATAAAATATTTAAAGGGAAAAATAATTAGGGTCAGATATGTACATTAATGAGAAATTATTTTATTGGAATGTCATTAAAGAAATATATAATATTCACAAAAAAATGTATTGTATATTTATCAATTAAATAACAAGAAACAATAGTATAATTTAAAAAGCCTTGATTTGCGCTAAAAAACTGCCTGGAGCATATTTAAACAAAACGATTCAAATTAATATTAGTTTGTCATGCACAATTTTTCCACATATTTCATTAAGTGCAACATTCTAAGCAATTAAAAACGACTACAAAATGTTTACTGAAATGTCAAAAAATCATTAAATAAAATCATAAACTAACCACCAACGTTTAACAATAATACACACAGCCTCGTGTTGACATATATACAACACAACATGGAAATTTACTTGTTTCAAATCACAAAAAGTTAATAAATTATACATCAATCAACAATATAACGAAATACAACAAAAATAATGTTCTGCGTCCTCCACAACCCTCATAAATAATAACAATATAAAAATATAACAATTAAAATGTGAAGTAGAAAATCACAATCTCAACTTTCGAACAAACACCTAATTTTGCATTGATCGTTAAAATTCATAAAATAGTGTCATTAAAAGGTCAAAAAATATCTATACATATATTTTACAAACTCCTATTATAACATTTACTAGAAATGCGACTCTATGCAATTTTAAACAAAATTTAATCGCATTAATACAAAAATAACANTAAAAATAAATAACTAATTTCGCTTAAATAGCAATAGTAGCTTGCTCAATTTACGATTTTATTACCCACAATTTATGACGCCTTTTTAAAGAACTATAATAGGGAAGCCGTTCAATATAAATAATACCTTGAGAATGAAAATATGTAATTTAAGTTTCTTAAATTGTGAAACAATCCAGCAGTTTAAGTTGATTTTCAAAAATGTTTCACAAAAAAAAAATTAATATTACATTTAAACAAAATAAAATTGTTTTCCATTACGTTTTCTCCAAAAACAATTAAAAATTAATACGTTATAGCCATTTATAAACTTAAAAATCTTACTTTATTCCCTGAAAAACCAATAAACTCAAGAAGTTTTATCACTCGAGAAGGAAGTAATGATATCATCAAATTAAAAGCGCCAATCCCCATTCGTACACCACTTTCAAAATGTGGTTTAGTTGAAGAATTATCCCAATTCCGATTTACCAAAATATTATGACATTCTCTAAAGCAAAAAGGCGATATATTAAATTGTGAAACTATACTTCAATAAAATTTTCTTAGTTTATTTTACCTGTAACAACTGTAACAAAGACGTATTTTAAGACCAGCTTTTATAAAACTGCTCAATGTTTCATCTTCCATAAAAGTTAAAACAGCCTTAAGAAGATACGATTCAGCATAACAAAGTTCAGCATGTGCTTCAACTTCGGAATAATTTTCATAATTAATTTTTTTAACCATTTTTTCCAAAGACTTTCCAAAAGAATTTTTTTTTCGATACTTGTCACACACAGTCATTGATTTTTTAAGTGCTTCAGAAGCTAATTTAATATGTCTATGCTCAAAAGTCAGTATGGCCTCAAGAAAACTGAAAACAGCATTTCCAATGCTATGATACATGCTTGAATTTGCACTAAAAGTAATCTTAATCAATTAAGTATCATTTTTCCATCAATAAATACCTACTAAGGAACCATAATATCTCTAGCCTTTTGAAACTCATTATTAAAAAAATAATTAATAGCTTGCTGGGCTTCATACACAGCTTTTTCTAAAGTCATATCCTCAGGTCTGCAAACATTTCAAGGATGTAATTATATCTAGTAATAAAATGTTACAGTACCTGTATATTGCACATTTTGCAAATAAATATATGTAAATATATTTCTGATATTTCTACTTATTATAAAACAATAACAAGAAAAAGAACATCATTAATTTTAAATGATACAAATAAAACTTACATTGGTTCTACATCAACTTTAATGAGGAGTGTGGACGTTTCGGTTTTTAGTAATACTGCTCACACCCCAAAAACTGTTCATCTACTTTAATCGACCGGCTCTTGGATTGTAACATTAATTTAATTTAAATAAATTAATTAAAGTTAAATTGTAATTTAAAATAATTTGAAGCTATTACAGTAACTAAATTTAAAAGATTGTAAAACTAATTTAATTTTTCTCTACATCACCACATCGAATCTAATCTAATTACAGAAAATTTCTAAATACATCTCATCCAATAAATCTTTAATGTCGTAACGATGACTATTACTTTAAATTACATCTACCTGATATACAACATGAACAAGAATGAACTTGCATCATTATAGGCGGAGCAGTGATTGGTAGCACATAGCGCTATCCTTTTTCAATGCTAAGTTTACTGAATTATACTCTACAGTCATATGTCATTTATTAGTTCACTATTTTCTTTTAAGTCTGTCTTTATTTTTGTTAGTCGATTTAAAAAAGGATAGTTTACATGAAGTTCGCTGATAGATCCATACCCGTTCATTCTTTCGTGGGATAGATTATCGTATTATAATTTTTATTACTGTAAATTTTCTTACTTCATTAGTGCTTCAATTGATGATTTCTCTTTGTCATCACCAATCATGCATAATAAAGCGGCTCTTTGATAACTATAAATTGTAGTTGACCAACGGCTTTTCTCTATCAAAAACGTTGCAAACTGATCGGCAGCTCTCCACTCACAACCCAGACTGAAATAACATTTAAAATAAACGTATACAACGAATGTACATTACACAGTTTTAGTTTTTAAAAAAATACAGTAAGAAATTTCCAGAATTATTAGCTTACTGTTTATCAAAGAAATGTTCCTCTGTAGCAAAACATAAAAAAAATTACCAATGCAACCAAAGCAGTTCCCAAAAACAAAGGTGATGAAATTGAGGCCATATATCTTGCGATTTCCAAGATTTAATGTACAATGCCTTGCTTTCTTCAAAATTTCCCCGCATGAATTCCAATCTCCCCTTAAAGAACAAAAACCAAGCACCATTCGGATGCTTCAGCAGTTGCTTCTCCAAAATATTTGAGCATAAATCTAAATCACCTTCTTGATGGGACAAGACATACACAACCACTAAATTATACCCCAAAAGAGTCATAAGACATAATATCTGCCTCAAGCCATCAATTGAGTAACCCTTCTTCAAATCGTCCAATCCTAATTGCTAGTAAAAATTGAAGATGCAATTGTATTGTTCAGCTATTAAGATCAATAGCAATAAAGGCTTATGTGTATATATATTCTTTACGTTTAATANTAGTTTAACTTAATAGTAACACTTTAAACTTTTAACAATTTTCAGTAGTAAGAAGAACTATGCATAAAAATTGAACGTTAGTTAAACTTTTTGGAAACATTTACCTGAAATTGTGGCAAGACAAGTTAAGGAGATGCTCGTAGGGGGGGGGGTGATCATCAGTGGCTGTAAAATCTGTAAAAATAACGAAAATTATACTTAGAAAGGTACCGTACCGAATACTGTCTAGAAAACGTATGATGCATAAAAATTGAACGTTAGTCAAGCTTTTAAGCAACACTTACCGGAATCTGTGGCAAGATAACTTAAAGAGAGGCTCGTAGGGGGGTGGCGATGATCGGTGACTGAAAGCTGTAAAAATAATGAAAATTGTAGTTACAAAGGTACAGAATACTTGTAGAAAAAATATGCATAAATATTGAACATTAGTCAAGCTTTTCAGCAACACGTACCAGCAAGAAGAAGGAGAACCTGGTAGGGGGATAGTGATCATCGGTTACTGTGAATGCTGTAAAATAATTAAAATTATCTTGTTGTGTTCATAATTATTACTACTGCAGAGGCAATCATAAGTAAACTACAAGCGAACGGAATGCAATTTCATTAATTCAGTATAAATGACTTAATAGTACATTTTTATACACTGCAATGATACAGTATGTTGTGGGTATTTTGGGGATACGAATAAATTGTTTCTCTACAAAACTAAACATACAATTAAATGTAGAAAACAATTACACCCTCCGGGTCAACAAATTTATTCCTAATGATACGATTTTCACTCTACTAAATACAATGTCATTTATTCAATACCACTATGATGATATGACACCATTTGAAACTTTGGTATTTTCCAAAGAGAGGACGAAAAGTTTGTATATTACAAGAAATACAATAATCCTGAGTAAAGACCAAGGAAAAAAATCGTTCTTATTACATTGATAAACGAAACAGTTCGAAATATTCGAAACATGTATTTGTATGTCAAATCTTTCGTTCTATTAAGTATTAACACGTTTGTAACGTTTTAAAATTGTTTAAAACAATTTATTTGTATGATGACGTGCTGACATAAAATTCTTCAGTAAGCGCACTTAATCAAAGTTACGGAAATAATCTGTTCTGTAACTTGTAACAGAATAGTTTTCAAAAATTGGCACATGATGTGTGATACGAATATGTAAACAATGCCGCAGCTATTAATTAATACAACTAAACTGAACAACATGAAATATATTTAGTTATTTAAACCAGTAAAAACAATTTTCATAGATGTAAATCCCACAGAGGTAATCGCAGTTAGCTGTTTTGATAATGTTTTTTAATTGATTCAACTTCAACATCCATATAGCAATGAAATTCAATATATATAAAGCGGTGAGTAAGTAATGTATTAAGTACTTCAATCATGTTTTACAATAGGTAATTATTTTCTGAAATAGTGCTGGTTAGAAAGGAAAGGATGTTTTCTGTCCAACAGAGAAAAACCGTGCTGTACAGTCTACACCATTACGGGGTCAAATTAATTTGAAAAGTTCTACCTACATTATACAGTTCCTGCAGAAGTTAAAGGTCAAGATGCCGCTTTCAATTTTCCTGAAGTAACAGCGGTTCCAACGAAAGCGGCAGGTATTCTAATTTGTTGTTGTTGTAAAACTTAAGTTCTAAAATAAATGTTTTGTAGAACTTCTTCCGGTAGAGGAATGGAAGCAGACGGAATTGCCCCCATTAAAAGATGAAAAAGTACTGCATCCAGTGAAAACATATGAGGGGAAAAGAAGAATTGTTTCAACTGCAAGTAGTTATGCAGGTAACAGATTCAAATATCCAAAACATATATAATTATTTGTTATAGAAAGTACACTCACAATGGACAATACAGAAGCTAGTATTTCTGCAGTTTCTGAAACGTTAGCACTTCAGAAGTAGNATATTACTAGTCACACTTACTTCATCATAATCTTGGTCATCATTATTTTCTACAGGAATAGGGTCCATTTTACAGATTTGCACAAGCAGATAGATACCTTCTGAATTCAATTTGAAGTAAATCCCTCTTTTTAATATGAAAGGTTAATTTAATTACACTTTAATTGCCTTTATTATTAAATTCTGGTTAAGTATCTGGAATTAGACGATTCTTTCATACAACACATTAGCAAACATTATAAGTTGGGTTAAACGTATACAGAATAAATTACAATAATTACGAAATAAAAAACCCAAAATACCTTGAGTAAATATCAACAAAACAACAGCCCTTATTAATAAAACTTCTACTAGGTACCAGCAGTTCTACGACCTCAGCACTAGATAACGAATTCTATTAAAAGCGTATTATTTCGTAATTGATTTAGCAAACACATCACTGATTACATTTTAACTGAACTCTTTTAAATTTTCAAAACAGCAAACAAATTTACATCTTTATAAAAATACTGGAATATGTATAATATTCAAAGACTGTTTCGTACCAGCTGATAGCTGATAGCCTGCCATAGATAATAGATATACAAAGGGTAATAGCAGAGAAGAGAGGTAATAGATGGTCAACTCGAAATGCACTAATTTGCGCGCCCTCCGGCAGGTCTAGTCGATACTAAATAAAAAAGGCGCGCACTTTAAATTTGTTAGTTACTTATTGTTTTTCGTAATGTACAAGTTAAAGTGAAAAATGGATAAGAAACAATGTATTTTCCTTTTTTATAAAAGAAAAGACATTGTCTCTTTTGTAAAAAAGGAAATACATTGTTACTNTCTAATAATAGAATAACCGACTGATTGAAAGTTCATATGTCACGTGAACAAATTTAAACAAAATTTAATCGCATTAATACAAAAATAACACTGCATACATAAACCTTCTAAAATTTATCTTAAGTTACCATATAATACAAAATCTGCAAAGCATCAGATTAATTAAAAAATTGATAATTTCACACTGGACCATATTACCATTAATACTATAAAAATAGGTAAAACCTTAAAAATATTAGCACCTAAATAAATGGTATGATACTGAAACTATCTAAAAAAAAGACTAGTTTTAAGTATTTCGTAATATAACTACAGATTCAGCGCGTGTATCGTAGAAAAGTGGATAAAATAAATGCATTTTGTTATTTTTTTTTTTCATCTAATCTTTACATTTTAAGTCAGAGAGTGCTGTATGAATTCTAAAGTGTAATCGAGACTCTAATGAATAGCCGGAATAATTTTTCCTAAAAATTTAACAATTTTAGACAAGTAAATAAAGTTAATATTATTATTATACTTACTTTGCATCTTCCAGAGCAAGGATAGCTTTCTCTTTGTTTCCTCGTTCATATTCTAGTAGTCCTAATTCAACAATTGCATAAGGAACAATAAAATTATCTTCAATAATTTGCTTTTTCATTAGAATCGCTGATTCTAAATTTTCCAATGCCTGCAATGGACTGCTCATTTGTCTCAAACATGCTCCCTTAAGAAGTAACAAAAGTGCTTTATTGTCATTCTGATATTTATCCGATAATGTGTGTTCTAGTTTCTTCTCTTCTTTTTCAATTACTTTTAAAATTCCTTCCGCAATTCTAAAATTTTTTTTCAATATTTTGAAAAGATTCCACAAAAACATAAGTTCTATTAATGGAAGCACTAAATGCTTGTTTTGACTAAAATATCTTTCAGCTTTTCTGATAGCAAACTTTTCCATTGGCAACGATTTTCCAGCTATTCTCTGTTTGTACTGAGGAACTTTTCTAAAAAGAAAATCTCAAAATAAGGCTATAAATAGATAAATAAATAGTAATTAATAACCTTTTATTATTGCATATTCAGAAATTTGATATTATGTTAACATCAATGTTCTAATAATAGAATAACCGACTGATTGAAAGTTCTGTGAATCATAATTTTTAGTGTGTAATTACTATAGACCTTAAACGTCGACATCCCTGAAATGAATTAAATTTATACCAACAGAAAAGAATGGTATAAAAGTATCTAGCGTCGACCAGCGCCAGTTATCCGCTACCATGTGTCGACTTCTAACTGAACAATTTTTTTTTTTCACTTATCGTAAAACATAAAATGCATCGATTTTTTTTTTAATTAATTCTCAAAATCACAACCAAAAGTAAAATTAGACAATTTAATGAGGAGTGTGGACGTTTCGGTTTTTAGTAATACTACTCACACACCAAAAACTGTTCATCTACTTTAATCGACCGGCTCTTGGATTGTAACATTAATTTAATTTAAATAAATTAATTAAAGTTAAATTGTAATTTAAAATAATTTGAAGCTATTACAGTAACTAAATTTAAAAGATTGTAAAACTAATTTAATTTTTCTCTACATCACCACATCGAATCTAATCTAATTACAGAAAATTTCTAAATACATCTCATCCAATAAATCTTTAATGTCGTAACGATGACTATTACTTTAAATTACATCTACCTGATATACAACATGAACAAGAATGAACTTGCATCATTATAGGCGGAGCAGTGATTGGTAGCACATAGCGCTATCCTTTTTCAATGCTAAGTTTACTGAATTATACTCTACAGTCATATGTCATTTATTAGTTCACTATTTTCTTTTAAGTCTGTCTTTATTTTTGTTAGTCGATTTAAAAAAGGATAGTTTACATGAAGTTCGCTGATAGATCCATACCCGTTCATTCTTTCGTGGGATAGATTATCGTATTATAATTTTTATTACTGTAAATTTTCTTACTTCATTAGTGCTTCAATTGATGATTTCTCTTTGTCATCACCAATCATGCATAATAAAGCGGCTCTTTGATAACTATAAATTGTAGTTGACCAACGGCTTTTCTC